TATATATCATCTATATATATCTATATCATGCTCATGTTGATTCAATTATTGTTACTAACAATGATACCATCATGTTCAATAATAGTAGTATTAGTAATCTGATGAATATTTGTGGTTTAATTATAATTAAAAAAAAACTCTTACTTTGTTATGAATTCATAATCTGGCTCAATAATGTCTTCTTCCAAGCTATAGTCATCAAAATCCATTTGAATGATTCTAATTTAACTTTAAAATGTTAATTTATATTTAAAATGCATTTAAATTTCAAAATGTTAAGGACATGTTTTGTTGCTTTCGATAACCTAGACCCGATACAAAGTGAACGGAAAACAAGTTAAAGTAGTGAGAATGAATTTATCTACAAGTTTCTGACGCAAGTATATTTGTTAGTTCTAGATAAATTCGGAATGTTTTTACCCTATTGCAATGCTTACTTTTTGTTTGAAATGTGGTTTACTTCTTAATTTGGATCTTCCTTACTATTACAAAGGTTATAAGATTAATTAATAAATTCTATTCAAAGTATTATATTTTTATAAAATATTTTTTATATTTTAAATTTTATGGCATTAAAAACAATTAATGCAATTTTCAGATTTAAATTTTTATTTATTTTATCCTTCTCTGTTTATTGCATTAAATAAATGCATTATTTCATAAACTTATTTTGTTAATTTCTAAGAATTGAATCTTTAGATAGCCTGGGGTTTATTTTTGGAATCTGAAATGAATAGTAAGATAGGCAAACGATAAGGAAATTTAAAATGATTTTTTTATGACTTAGTTTTTAAATTCTTTCAATGAAGTTGTGAAAAAAGGTAATTCATTGATAATGATTAATAAATTAAATTTTAGCTTAATTTTGCTTATTTTTCGCAAAGTATATTAATTGATCTCCACAATATATTTCGATAAAATGAAATTAAATGAATTAAGCTATTAACTTTATTTACGTATAAATTCATAGAATTTATACACTCTTGGGAAAGTTATTTTCAGGTTGGAGCATAAAATCTTTCGTATCTTTAACTACAGAATTGATATAATCATAAAATTGATGTAACCATAATATTGATCTTTTAACCATATGGTATCTTGAACCATGGAATTGGTATCTCGAACCTTAAAATTGGTATCTTGAACCAAAAGTTTGGTATCTTGAACCATAAATTTGGTATCTTGAACCATAAAATCAGAATCTTAAATCGTAAAATTGGTATCTTGAAAAATAAATTTGGGATCTTTGAACCATAAAATTAAGTGCTTGAATCATAATACTGTGCAAATTTAATGTAAACTTGAAATGGTGTTAAATTGAGCGATGTTTCAATTAAAGTTGATCCAGAATATCAAGTGATCGAGTTTAAGCTGATTTAATTTGTACGATAATATGGCTTAGCTTGACATTGTACTGATATAGCATCAGATTTTTGGCGATATAATTGGGTTGCACACACGCCAAAGTTTGAATCTAGTTAAAAAATCTTTTTTTAAAAATATCTTAGTACTACTTAACCGGCTAGTCAGGAGCAAGTAAATTCAAAAATTTTTTGAGTGCAAAGCAATTAAGCCCCCTTAAATATTGTGTTTATTTGTGTCTGGCTAACCAAAGAGTACTGTAACGAATCAAGCTTCACTGAAGAAACAGTTTTTATTTTTTATTATTAAAAAAAATATTTATTTGACACAACAATCACACAGCAACCAAAAAAAAAAAAAATTGAAATACCCGCAGCGGGTTAGTGTAAACCTTAAATACAATCAAAAACTATTCTCAACATTCATAATTTTTTTTGTTAGGTTGTTTTAAGAAATAATTTAGTTAGTGTTGAATAGTTAGTATTACACTCTGTAGCTATTTAGAATAATATCGCATTTTTATGTAAATAAAAACTTAGTGGCGAAGTAGTTATTTTGATTTATTTTAGCTCCTTTCTAAAATGGCTGTAGACATTTTAAACATAAACACGGTGCTATGGTGCCGCATACTGTCATCTATGTATATATTTCTCTTACACGGCGACAAAAAAAAGCCTCATTACATCTCCCCGGATGGCAACGCTAGAAAATCGATCAATGATTGCCGCTAAAAATGTCACATGCCAAATCTAGTTGAGGTGACTCAACATAAGGCGTTCTTAAAAACGGAAACTAAAATAACCAGAATGTAAAATATTATGTGCTTATGTGCATCGTATTTTTCGTTTAATAATTTATTTATTATATATCAATTTATAGATGGTAACGAGAAGAGTTTTGTGGTTGCTATGGTGACTAATTAGAATATAAATTGTTTTCTTGAGTGAGTGTGAGATTTGTTTTTTGGAACTGCGATGCTGTAATTTTATTGTTTAGTTAATAAATCTTCCTTTTATATTAAACGTGATAGTAGTTTCCTTAATTATTTGATTAATTATTTTTTTCCTTAATTTCTCCTTAATTATTTGAGGTCAGTTTATTTTGTATTTTTTGACAAGAGAGAGCATTCTCACCAAATGAGATTTCTTCCGAAATTCAATGTTTTGTTTATGCGGATTTTTCCATTGCAATTCACTTATTTCAATTTTTAATAGACTTAATTATAGCCAAAAGTTTAACCTTTTTAAAGAGATATCAGTTTTAGAAATTTTATCTTAAGATTTTATACTATAGCACATTTCTAATATGTTTAACGAATTACATGTCATTTATTTGAATTCAAATTTATTTTAATGACTTAGTATTTACTAAAAAGAAGTAATTTTTTTTTCAAAAAAAAGTTGTTATATGGATTTGAATGATTGTTAGAATTTTGTAAATTTCCAATGTACCTAAGTTTGTAGCGAGCGAAGCGATCTTGGTTTGCGAAGCAAACCATATAAGATTGAGTAGCAATTTTCGGGGGTTGGCGAGAGTTGGCGAGCAGAGGGCGCAACCCACTAGTACTAATTATTGGTGCCAGAGCCTATTTTTTTTTGAGCAATAGCAAATATATGCTTTTAGAAACTCAAATTATGGCTCGAGAGGTAGGTTAGGAAGCAGTACAGCACACAAATGGAGCATTGGGAAGACTTTCCTATTTTATTTCACGATAGAGATAGAAATACTTTTAATACTTCAGATGGTCTACTGTGCTGAAATGTCCCAAACACATACACACGGTTCGCTTGCAAAGAAGATTTCAAATTATTACAGAAATTCAATACAAAAAGAACTTTGACAATATGGCGAGCATCTCTTAAAAATAGTTAAAATTGAAATTAAAGTGCGGGAAAGCCACGGATGAAAAATTTGGGTAATATATTGTTTAAAACTAAGTTCAGGGCCTGATTGTCGCCTAGGCCCAATAGACACGTGCCTAGGGCCCTCACTTTCTGGGGGGCCTCAAAATTTAGTAAAAAGTCTACAATATTGCGTTAAAAAATACTGAAAGAAACAGCTTATCTCAAAAAATGCATTTTCTATTTTAAATTTTCTTTATATTGTGATAAACCAAACTCGTGTAAACATTGCATTAATCAAATTACAAAGAACAGCTGAATTTTAATTGGTGCAATTTTTACTCCAACGGCTTGCAACGAGAATACACATTCGAAAAGTCTCTTATAAATAATTATTGTCAACAAGAACTAAAAGCTTCTAGTTAACAAATATGTAAAGCTGTAGAGGAAAGGCTACAATCTTTAAAATAATTCAGCTAATCAGTGACATAGCAAAAATCCCTGATTTCAATTGTTTGTGGTCACCAAAACTATTTTTATTTTCATACACCATTGTTGCGTTGTTTTATATTTTGCTTTAATATTTAGATGCATAAACTTTATCTTAGAAAAATAATCTTCAATTGTCTGTTTTCAAAAGTTTTTGGAATGTTTCGCTTGAATCATGCAGTTCAATAGATTTTTTTTATTGTTAGGATTAGTCTTCAGAAATTAAATTTCAAAATAATTTGTTCGGGGCCCAAAACATTTTGTTGCCTTGGGCCTGAATTTGTCTTGATTTGTCCATGACTAAGTTGTTAGAATTGGAGATGGGGTTGAGCAATTATAATATTTAAATAGAGTCGTGTTGTGTATTCTACTTGGGGATCATTAAAGTTTATATGCTTTATAGGATAATTTTTAAAGGTCACAAAAGGCGGCAGTATTTATATGCATAATTTTACGAACTTAACTTCACGCTTTAATGAATTAATTTTTTTTGAATAATTAACAACTCATATTTGTATAACAGCTTTGTAAAATGTTTAAATACACTTTTATTTTTAGAGAACATGATAACCTTGTTTTTAATTGCACTGCTGCCACTAGGATCTTTTGGTCAGTTGGTGTTGGGATTCTGTCCGGAACCTCCAAAATTCATAAGGGATTTGAATCTTGAAAAAGTAAGGAAAATGCAATTTACTTACTAACGGTATTTTTAGGGTTAAAAAAAATAAACTGCTGTTGTAGTTTATACTATGCGTTTTTAAAATTAAAGTTCGAAAATAAATACAGAATAAAATGAATAATTGAAAATATTTAGTTCTGATTTATATTGTTTAAAAGTGACTAAAAGATTTTTGATGTTTGATTTTATTTTTGTTAAAAAAAGACACATTGTTATAAACTGATAGTTTGAACTACCAGAATATGGTAAAATTCATCGTTTTTCGGGCTCTATGGCAACATAAAAAATCAAGATAATGTTAACCGAAGCACTTTGGTGAAGATTTTGGTAAAATTAAGAATAAAATATGGTTTTATAATAGGCGATAAAACTTGGTAACCGTAGTTAAATTTGATAATTTTATCATGATACTTCAGAGCATGGTATAAAAGCCATTTAGTCGTCATAATTTACTTTTTAGTTTTGTATTTTCTGCCGAATGTGTGGTAATAAAAACTATAATTTTGAAAACCACAATTTACTGTGAGCAGTCCATGCACCCAGTATACTAAAAAAAAAAAAAAAAAAACTACTCAGGTCAAGTACTTGCAGTCTTCCTATGACATGATAACAGCTCAGATTAGTGTAAATCAATGCATTCGCATCATCAAGTGGAAGTTATGAACGCATTTTATTTTACTGCCATCTGGTGATAATAGAAAGAACTTCCGTCAGGTATACGGTGAATACGAGCGGAAAAATTACCAAATGAAAGGTTAAATTTTGGTTTCATTAACCCAGAATTAGATTTATTATTATTATTATTATTATTAGAAATTTCATTACTAAACAATAATTTTATGAGAATTTTCTCTCTGCCTGGGAGGATTTAAGTTTATAAGTTTTGCATCGACTCCAAAACTATCCAAGTAAAATAAAAAATATATATTTAAACTATTTTAAGATCATTTATGGTAATCTCGTAAACCATAATATAACGGAAGACTGGTATATTATTCACTTTTTAATGAGTAAAATATGCATACACTATTTAGCTATTTAAGGGTGATCGCGTTATTGGTATGAGACCCAGCTTCCAATATATGGGATAACATTTGGTACAATTTTATATGTTACAAAATGAAATTTAAATGTTATTTTCTCTTTTCTTTTTAAAATTAAGTGTTATTTTTTTTAATAAGGCAATCGTCTATCTGAAAATACAATTGGATTTGCCCACACAGGTTGGAGTTTTAATTACAATGAAAAATTATTAGAAAGGTATAAGTAACTTTTTGGAGACTTTTATGAAGTATAAACATATTATTGAACACTTTTATGAAGTATAAACATGTTATTGGACACTTTTATGAAGTATAAACATGTTATTGGACACTTTTATGAAAGTATAAACATATTATTGGACACTTTTATGAAGTATAAACATGTTATTGAATTTCATTTCATAACCAAAATGAGGAAATACACATGATAAAAATATCCAATATTATGCAAAAAAATGCTGAAAATTTATTTTAATTTTTCCTTTTATATAATAAATAAAAATGACCAAAAAAGTTATTGAAGTTTATTTAATAGATATTTTGAAAATATGCTATCATCTTCATAAGTTCATTTAATTTATAAGTTCACTCATTTAAAATGATTTTCATATGTGATTTTACTTTTTAAAAAAACTCACATTTTCTACCATTATTTAAATGTCGTGTCTTAGGAAAATTGAAAAAAAAAAAGAAATGAAATTTGGTTAATCCCGAAAAAACTTTAATGACCTAATTTAAGAGGACAGCCAAGAAACTCTCGAGGAAAAATTCTTGATTTTATGGAGATGATGTTAGAAAAAATCTTCTGAAATATTGCGAATTGATTAATAAACTCTGACGTCTATTTATCATCAGTTAAAAAATATTACAGATATTATAATATTTCCTTCGTTTGAAAAAGTTTGATGAAGGAATTTTTTCCCCAGTAAAACCAATTTTTCACAGTCGAAATAATTAAACATCTATCATCAATAAAAAATATCGAATAACGAAAGTAAGAAAGAGGAATTCCTAACAGTTCAGAGGAAAAAATAATGTTAGATGGTCCTGTAAGGACATTTTTCTATAAAGATTTTACACTACGCAATGCATAATTATATAAATAGTTCCATCCGAGTAATATGGGAATTTTGAATGGCAGTCATGGAATTCCTATATAAATTCTTGTCAGAAGTTATGGAGAGACTTACGTCTTACTTTGTTGGTAATCATAAACAATATATGCGCGTTTTTCATAATGTCATGAAAAATCATGGAATAAAATGTATTGATATTTTTTAGAGATATTCATAATTTTTAATGAGTTTCTCTAGTTACAATAAGGTCTGTGTTTCAATTGAGAATTTCGTTCTTAATGGCTATAGTATTACACATAGAAAAACAAATTCTGGTAAAATTACCATACTGTTGGGTAAAAATCTACATTATACATTTATAGAAAAAAACAACAACATAGTTCTGGTCATAAAAATCAAATTATACTGTATTTAAACCATTCATTTGGTAATTTTTGCATTTATTTGTTAACGATTTACCTGAAATTCTGGCTCTCAAAATTTATTGTTATTATTTTCACTCGTTTAGTTAAAAATACAAAACTGAAAAGTAAATGTCACCGAATAAATGATTTGTATGCCATACTCTAAGGTATCGTAATAAAATTACCAAATTTTACCACCTTTACTGAAATTTATCATATATTGTAAAACCATATTTTATTGATAATTTTAACGTCATAACCAAAGTGCTTTGGTAAAAATTACTGAGCTCTTAGGTGTTCGCATAGAGCCGGAAGCATAGTAAATTTTACCATATTCTGGTAGTTCTGACAATAAAATATTTTTCAGAGTACTATTACTCAAAGATTACAAATCTCTGCCAGATTCTTTCAGAATTTTAACATATTTTTAATACGTAGTTTAATATTTAACTATATGACTTTTATTACAAATATTTCCTGGCATGAGAAAGGGAATAAATATTTTGTCCTACTACTTTTTAAACATTTTATTTAATTATCAACTATTCAACCGATTCTGTTGAAATTTTTTTTTTTAAAATTCAATTTAGAAAAATAGTTTGTACCTAATATCGAAGTTTCTGTATCCCTTTCAGAATAAGAGTTTCGATTATTGTTGTGAGTTTTGCAGTATTCTTAAATTTGCGAATTTTTTCAAATACGAAGCTCTTCGGATACAGCAATAACGCGATCAAGACATTTAGGAGTAAATGAGTGAAACATTTTATGTTTTTATGAGTAAGTAATACCATATATTTATAATAGCCGCAGTAACTTGTTGCGTATTGCAAATACTATAAACGTCTTTTAGGTGGGAGGCAAAATATAATGTTCTATCTACATAACTGTTATTATTATTTCCATAGCTATAACAACAGTTATGTATATAAAATAAACTAAATCTCATAATTTACACATGAAAATTCTTTTTCTGTACAGATTTCTTAATAAACTTTATTTGTTTTTCTTCTTCTTGGCACTACAGCCTTGAACAGGGTCATCTCAACGTCTTTTTCTTTCCATCAGAATATATTAAACGGTTGTTGCTTCCAATTAGTAAAAAATTTGAAATCATTCTAATTAATATTATATTCAAAATATTCTCAACAGCATCAAGCCAAAACTATTAGTAGTAAAATGCAAAATAATTCAGATTGGCTCAATTTATATGTTTGAAAAGACACACCATTTTAAGTTAAAATTTATTTCAGTTTCAATTACTAACTTTTTTCAATATATTGACTTAAAATGTAAGAAATTTATTTGTAGTATTCTGGAAAATGGTATGCTGTAGCACAAAGCCGATATCATCCAATGGGGGCTCAATCATGCCAATTTGTTGAATATACACCAAGAAGTGAAGATGGGTTTGATGTGCACTATGAAGCAATTGGCTCGCCGTAAGTTAGATAATTCTTTAATAAATCCTATATTTGCGTCTTTTTAAATGAGAAAAAAATTTATTATACTTGAGACTGATGTAAGGGTATATCTAAAAAGTGCAATTAAATAAAATGTTTAACACTTGTTATAACACAAAAATTGGGCATTCTTAACATTAACATCATAAAAAAGGAGTGGTGGCTCAACGGATTGAGCTCTCACCTCCTAATGAGGTAACCAAGGTTCGAAGAGGCGAATTCGGCAGCCGACTACAGTGCTAGCATAAAATATTCTTTGTCATACACGGATCATGGGTAAGAGTCCCCTTGCTGCCAGGCTGGTCATGGGGTTCTTTTGTGGCTTTCAGCTTTCTGTAACGCAAATGCGGGTTAGTTCCATCAAAAAAGTCCTCCACGAAGGCAAATATTTCTCAATACTTCACCCAGGACCTATCTTCGCTTGCATCTGGGAGCAGCTAAGGTGATTGGGTACCTGCTAAAAGCTTAGATCCACTCTTTGACTCTTTGAAGTGAAAGAATCCCTCCTACCAACTCCAAATGAAAAAGGTCCCCTTCTCACCCAACTGGAAACGACATTTTCCCTTAGGAAAAAGAGTAATAAACCTTTACTGGTAGCTTTTAATCAAAAGAATTTTTAATCTATCTGAAATGTATCTCCTCACGCTTGATTTACAGGAAGCATTTATAATCACACGATTTCTAATCACTCTCTTGAAAATTTATAAATGCTTATATTTGGTTTCATAGCATTGGTAATTTATTTAATAAAAGAATGTTATAATTATTTAAAAGAGTTATGTTTAATTCATTATACGAAGCCGATTTAACGAAAGCTTCTTTATTGGGGATTTCTTTAGTAAAAGGTGAGTTTTAGTAGAATGAATTTACAAAATGAGGTATAATAATAGTTAAATTAAATAGGGTAAAATAAGATACCTGCTCCCTTGTCTTCTGGATTGGGTTCAAAATCACTAGCTACGGAGTTGAACATTGGTATTCGAAAACTAAAAATTTGGAAAGACTGGTCAACGATGGTTATGAAATAAAATATTATGTAAAGCACTAAAGTATTTTAAGGGTTGTTGAGCTATTGCAGTATTTAAAATTGAATAATTTCTTTTTAAAAATTTACACTTAAAACATTTACATAGTAGATTAAACTTTGAAGCTTTTTTTATTTTTCTTAAAAATAACTATTTCATAACCCATTATTTTTCATAAATATTGTAAAATAATAATAATCAAGTATTAAGAAAATGCAATAACTTAGCCCTGTCTCCAATTCTTAACATAAATATAAATTATAATGATAAAACTTATTATTGATGATCAAATTGTAATATCTTAGTGTGAATGTTGCGTATTTATATAAATGCAGATTTTATGAAAAGAAAGAAACAGGAGGAAAAATGCACAGAGAAACTGGAAAGTCTCCTGGAGAATTGAAGTTGAAAATGGAAGATTGTAAGTGATACAATATTAATTTTATAGTTAGTTCGATATCAGTTTTTTCTAGAATTTTTTTCAGTACAGCTATAGCCACAACACTACGTATTTTTTCAAACATTACTTTTTAAATTGCATATTCCTTGCGAAAAACTGTTTAGAATACTTTATGCCTCATCAAGTTTATTAATGAATCTAATTTTAATTACTTAAAATTTAGAAAACAATTTCAAAAGCTTTTTTCAGTTGTATTATAAAATCACTTGCTAAAAATGCATTATATGTTCTAGATTTATATTGTTTGATAAAATACGATAGATTGAAGCACTTGTAGAAATATTTTATTTTGAGCTGCACCTTTACTATCTGTAGAAATTTTCCCAGAAAAATATATATTTATATGCTGACAAGTTACGTTAAGAAAATTAAACCAAATTCTTTTATAATTCGTGACATTCTAATCTTATTTTGCTTTCACTTAACTAGCAATAATATTTTATGCAAGCTCTTTAGCGATGAAACTTGCGTAGCAATTAGCAGATAGGCTTTGAACTAAGATATTTAGGTATTACTGCAAATATCGTAGAATTAGAAATGCTATTAAGCTGCAACTTTTTGAGTGAATAATGCCTACAATCGAAACTGTTTGATTTAGACAGAAGAATAATGTATGAGCAAGCTAAGATTTCTATGCTATGTACTTTGTTTAATTATTGAAATGATTTCTAAGACATGATTAAAAATGTAATTACTTTGTTTCATTAAATTTAATAATTAGACGTTAAAAAACGTTTTTAGTATTTCACCTATAAAAATCTGTGCTGGTAGCTAAGTTCTAATCATTTCTGGATGGCTACAGGGAAACATTTTCTCTATATACAATTTGTTACATTACAGTAATAATGAAATGTTATTAATACGTTTTTATTAAGTCAATTTCTTTGTGACAATGAAATTTTGCAATCAGGGATTTGCAATCAATTTGATTTGAAAGTTCTGACCATTTTCCGATTAGCTAGAGAACTCAGCAGCTCCATAGCAGCTCTGCACCTGATGGCAATACAAGTTGCAATCGCTTCCTGACTGCCACAAAAAGAATTTATTGTGATATGATCCTCAAAAAGAGTTAATTGACAATCGAAATGTTACGTCCTCTTTCCAATTAACTAGTGCACTCTGTTTTTGTTTTTGTTTACTTGAAAAACTTAGTTTTTAAATTTTATTTAATTATTTCTTAATATTTAAAATACCAGATAAAATTGTTTTGGAAAAAATATCTTTTTGCTTTTTTCTTTCTATTTCGCTATAGTTATGGAGATATCAATTGTTGTAAGCATAAGTTTTTTCAAAAAAAATTGTAAGGATGGCTGAAATCTGACCAAAGCACGATAATGCATAAAGGTGGAATAATCCCAGTTAAAATACTTAAAACCGCAAGTGAATTTCAAAGATCCAAATAAAAAAAGGGAATTCTTTGTGAAAGAGCAACGTATTAATAAAGAAAAACAACGTAAATTTAGCATAAGTAAAGGCACGAAAATGGACATACTATAGTTTCAGTTCTATAAATATGGATCTTTCTCAGTGTCTAAAAACACAAAAAAGAAACAAATACTATAAGGAGAAAAGTGGTTTAACCAATGAGGGAAGGGAAGTTGAAAAGATGATTAAGTTTGATTTTTCTTCTGGCTACACTGCTCTTTCTTTTTCGACTTCTTTAATACCGTTCTTCATCTAACGACCTTGACTTCAGGGAATCATTCCATATTTTGAAGAATTCAAATAATCTATTTGATATACATTATATTATTTTTTTTTCCAACTTCTCGAAGTCTAGTCTAATATAATTTTTGAGTAACTCCGAGTTTTCTCACAACTCCCTTCACGCTTGTTTCTTATTATCTCCCTTCTTTTATTATTTTATTCAAGCTTTTTATTCTATTGGTCAAATTTTTTTTTTCTAGTTGCAACGTGTCAGCCTTGTTACATTTTCCTCTAATTTTGTGTTTCAGCAATGAGGAAGGCTCTTGTTTATGGTACCGAAACTATAGTTTACTACGTCCATTTTTGCGCTTCATTCGTGTTTTGTTTTATTCAAGTTTAAAAGGATTTCTTGTTAGTGTTCTAACACAGCAAGTAAATTGTTATCTTAAAAAAATGATTGAAAAATGAAAATCTGTGTAGACGTAGTAAAATCTTTTACTACCAAAAAATAGAATTTTTATTCTAATTTTTAAAATTAATCCTTTCAATTTTGCCTTCTGAAACATATCTATANTCTTCATTGATTAGTTCGATATCAACTGTTGAAAACATACGTTTTTTCAAAATAAAATTTGTGAAAAATGGCTGAAATTTGATCAAAGAAAGATAATGAATAAAGGTGGAATAATCCCGGTTAAAATACTTAGAAGTGCAAGTAAATTTCAAATATCAAAATAAAAAAAAGGAATTCTTTGTGAAAGAGCTACGTATTAATAAAGAAAAACAACGTAAATTAAGCATAAGTAAAGGCACGAGAATGGACATACTATAGTTTCAGTTCTATAAATATGGATCTTTCCCAGTTTCTAAAAGCACAAAATAGAAACAAATACTATAAGGAGAAAAGTGGTTTAACCAATGAGGGAAGAGAAGTTGAAAAGATGATTAAGTTTGATTTTTCTTCTGGCTACACTGCTCTTTCTTTATCGACTTCTTCAATGCCGCTCTTCATCTAACGACCTTGACTTCAGGGAATCATTCCATATTTTGAAAAATTCAAATAATCTATTTGATAGACATTATATTATTTTCTTTTTTTCCAACTTCTCGAAGTCTAGTCTAATATAATTTTTGCGTAACTCCGAGTTTTCACACAACTCCCTTCACGCTTGTTTCTTATTATCTCCCTTCTTTTTATTCTACCCCTGTTGGTCAAATTTTTTTTTCTAGTTGCAACGTGTTAGCCTCGCTACATTTTCCTCTAATTTTGTGTTTCAGCAATGTAGAAGGCTCTTGTTTATGGTACCGAAACTATAGTTTACTACGTCCATTTTTGCGCTTCATTCGTGTTTTGCTTTATTCAAGTTTAAAATGATTTCTTGTTAGTGTTCTAACACAGCAAGTAAATTGTTATCTTAAAAAAATGATTGAAAAATGAAAATCTGTGTAGACGTAGTAAAATCTTTTACTACCAAAAAATAGAATTTTTATTCTAATTTTTAAAATTAATCCTTTCAATTTTGCCTTCTGAAACATATCTATACAAATTTTCTTATCAAAGAGTCTTAAAATGAAACATCCATTAACTTTCAGTACTCTTCGTCTACGGAACGCACTGAACTTGCAGATGTATTCAGGGTAAGGAAAAAAAAAAAAAAAAAAAAAAAAACGCTATCTTACTCGACAATTGACTGCATTCCTAATGCAGTCGATTGTCGAGTAATACTTCGGGTACCTTCTTACACTGTAAAAAATGCAAATACGCAAATTGCGATACACTGCAAATTAGGGCATGAAGTACCAACACTTTTGGGTGCATCTTCCGTAAAATCCATTCTTACTGTAAAATATTATACCGTAATTTTTACAGTGATATTTATTAAATTAGAGTGATACAGTGATTTTACGGTAATTATTACTTTGCGAATTACGCTAAATCTGATTTTTTGCTCAGTAATATGTAACGTTAAAAATTACGGTATAAAGTTCCAACACCCTGAGTGTCGGTACTTTTCACCGCAATTTGATCCTGAATTTTTCACTTTGTTATCAGAACTACTTTTGCTTTTAAGGAAGTTTATAAGGTAGCATACTTTTTTGGCGGTAATTTGTATTAATATGTCCATAAAAAATTCATCCTACTTGAACCAGACTAAGTGTAAAAATGACAAACAATGGCGTGGCAAAAGCAAAAGCTCAAGATTACTCTCACAATAATAATAATAATAATAATAATCATCATCAATGGCTCGACAGACCAGGGTGAGCCTTGGCCTTCTCAAGAAGTTTTTTTTCAGGCTAACCTTTTTCCTGCTAGAGTTTTCCAGATTACTCCAATATTACGTAATAAATGATAGCCTTTTCATTAATACTTTACTTTTTGAACATATCTATATAATAATCGACTATAATATAATAATCGATTGTAATATAATAATCTGTATAATAATCGATTACAACTCATAAATATCATTTAATGATATTTATGAGATAACAGGTTTATCGATTACTGTAATGATTCCAAATATTCTAGGTAAATTTGATAGTTTATTTCACTCAATTTAATATTTGTATTTCTTTTAGTGGCAATTAGTCTACAATTTCGAGTTCTACACGTAGATTATTCAGATGTGGCAGTAGAGTATACTTGTCTACCAGGGGTATTGAGTCCTTTATGTAAGAAAAAAATACATTTTTATACTTGATTTGTATTTAAATATATTTAAATAAGTTTCAATTTTAATCAAATATTTTTCAATTAGGCTTAAATTAATATTTTGTCATTTTTAATGATTAACGTTTGCATTTTCTATCTTTTCAGTATCTGTCACTGTTTTGCAGCGTAAGCCACCCGTCCAAGGTTCGAACCTACATTCAGTTCTTGAGTCACTCAATTTGTCAAATGTCATTCCTCAAGATCTCAGAGAGAATATGCTTCTGATAAATAACAATGATTGTCAAAATTGTAATTATTAGAAATTTAAAGATGTTTCGTTAATGGATTTTGAAATAAGTGATGTATGGAATTTTTTTAACACTAAATTTTTTTTATGTAATAAATTTTGCAATTAATTTTTATTTCACACTCATGTATTGAAATTATAAATAAAATTAAAGATCTATCAGGAGTCAATTAGCTTCTACTATGTTCATTTTACTTGAAGTCAGTTCCTTGAATAATTCAAATAAAAGTATATAGACGCTTCTTTTAGAATTATTGTATCTTAAAGTACTGGTTAAATAAATACAACAATTTGATTTTTACCTTTTAATTCCATACGTTCAATGATATGTTTTAGGAAACAATACTTTTTCGGAAATTATTTCCACAGGATTAATGTACATGTTTAGAGAATGTGTGCATATTTTTAACAGTATTAGAATGTTTTTAACAGAATTATGGAATTTTTGTAACAAAATTTTATAGCACTGTTTGTACAATATAATATTTATACAAATTTTAAAATCAGTCGCTAATAGGTTTATTTTATTAAAAATAATGGGAAGCAGATGTAAATGATGGTAGATGATTTTCCTTTACAATATGTACTTATAAAATGAGGACTGTATAAATAAGGATATACTTTTGTCAAAAACGTGAAGAATTAGTGCTTTATCCTAAGCCAAAAGTTCTTACGAATGTCTTAAAATAGATCACATAACAGAAAATTTATAAAATCTTGTTTAAAACTAACAAGAACTTGTCTTTACCTTTTATCATTAAATTATTGAAGCAACAGCAAATTATTAAAAAAAAATTCTTCTAGCTTAGAACTTTTTATCTAAAAGATTAAATCATAACTGTTGGAGAATATTAGATTAGAAATATGCTGTTGTCTAGATGCTAATAATATACCATAGTCTACTACTAGCAGTGAAAGCGTAAAGCTTATAGAAACACAAGTAAAAACGAATGTAATGAATGATTTAGTAATTTCTTATTTCCTTTTAATGACATATTAAAATTTGACTATTCTTAATAATCATTGCAAGTTAGAATTTTATTTTAATTTATTTCACTTACGGCATTGAACAGTTTGAATCGTGTCAGACTTTTGTCTTACAGTGTTCGATTACATCACCTTGTAATTTTGAACCCTGTCCAGAAGACAAGAAGCCTATATTATACAGCATTGGGGTGAGTTTGCGTGGTCTCTTTTGACGAAAGTGCTCCGAATTTGCATTACACGGAGAAGGAAACCGCGAAAATCTTTCAAAATTGGCAAGATGGTTAGAGTATTTTAATCCACGATCTATTAACCACTGGGGGTATTTTATATCCACCTTGTAGCGAGTCGGAAACAGTTTAGGAATTAACCTGTCGTCGTGGGATTCGAACCTGGGTAGCTTCATTAGAAGGCGAGAGTACTCTGTCTTCTGAGTCGGTTCTAAGTACAATATTGTATAAAAGCTTCCCCTCTCTGGATTTTCTTCCACCAACTTAATTAAAGAGAAACTCGTTCATTAAGTAGAAAAACAGTTGAAAACGGTCAATAATTTAAAATTGTTCCTACGTTTAGATACTTTCTAGAGTCAGCGATATTATTTTTTTTACTCCTTGATGATGTAACACATGATGACGTAAGCAGTATATAACAAAGCTCCCAATTCACTCAATTTAATTATTGAGGTAATTTAATATCTTGGTATAAAAAAGTTAGAATTCTGTACTACCTTAATTTTATCTTCATTGATTAGTTCGTTCATTGTTTTGCTCAGAAAAGGAAATGTGAGTTGGAATTTTTTTCTTCTTCTGTTTCATTCACTAATGGACTTCAGCTGTAAGCTAGTTTTTGGGGCAATGATTACTATATATAATTGTTTTGAAAGAAAATCCAGTTTCTAAAAATATATCATGATAAGCGAATAGTAGAAGTTAAAGCAAGTATTTAAATCATTTTTATCAACAAAAAATATTCACACCAGCAATTACAAATGCTTTTATCTAATCTATAAACAGACTAATATGTTGATAAAAAATGCAATGTTTTTCTCCCTTTATAGGGCATTATGCATGGTATTTTTAATAATTTTCTCACTTTATATATTTTTCACGCTTTTATTCATTTTTTTATGAATTTTGAATATTTTTAATTGTGGAGCATTTTTCTAGGGAATTATTTTTTATTGCTGTTGTTGTTGTCAGCTATTAAGGTACTGGGGGTTCGATTGTTCTTGTTTTCCAATGATGATCTCTATGGCCAAGAATTCAACTTCTGCCACACCCATACTCATACCCGTTTATAGGGCGGACTCATTCATACAACCATTCATTCATCCACAAATCGCAATTTTGTCCTGAACCAGGGACCGATCAATTTTCTATCTAGTACCCCTAGGCGTATTATTTGTTATGGAGGACTTTATGATCCTACAGATTTAATGTGCACCAGTTACCATTTACAGTCTGCTGGATTAGAATTCCCGTTCTCACGAACACGAGTCCAACGCCCTTTTTTATTAATTAGCATTTAACATTTTTTTCTTGATTAGTTCATATTATTTTAATAACAAGTGTTGATGTTGAACAAAGTCTTTCAAGGTCTAAAAAATATGCTTCGCTTTTGAACGGAAGGCAATATTTTAATTTGAAGAATATTAAAAAAAACATCTGATAATACAATATGCTATTCTAATATTCTTGAAGGTTGCACTTGAAAATTGATAAATTCTTACTTACCTTTGTTAGGTATTCATTTTCATCTCAACTTATATATTTATTTTAATTATTATTTTATTTTTTACTAAATTTATGAATACAAGTCATGATTAAAATTTTGTTTGCATAAAAAAAGAAGTTATAAAATACGCTTTTAAAAACTTGTAAGGACATTATTTTTTATTTTAAGACCATTGTTGATAATTTTACGGAGCGTTATTTGCCTTTTTTTAAATGAATTTTTAGGTCATAAATATCCTATATACAACTTTAGTTTTCCAGTAAGTTAACTTTTTTTAAGAAATAAGTCAAGTTTCGCTACAATGTTTGCCCAGTTAAATAAGTTTAAAAAAATTTCTATTGCCAGCTAAACTAATATACGATTTTCTCCTGTGAATAAAAATCGATTTTGGTACATTCCATGGAAAGAAGAAAGCGAAATTTAAAAAAATAAAATTCTTTTTTTCCTGATACTAAGACTTATAATATTTAACAGTTATTTTATTTCAAATTAATTGAACTTAAGTAGTTTTTGAGAAATTTGTTTCTGTTAAGTAACTACAGAAAGTTCTGGCAGTTTGCTGAGCAATGCAAGTAATTCTTGCAATACGTTTTAAATATTTTTCACCCTCTATAGTTGATTACAGAGGATTTGTTTAACACTGCAGATTTTTGCGTTCTGAAATAAATTCTTATTCTTAATTACTTTTAAGAGGAGAATATTGCACCCTGGGATACTTTTTAATACTGGGATACTTAATTTTTAGCTTCGATAAAAAGCGAGTTTTGAAAACAAACAGAAACATTATTTCTTCTGTAATGCATATTTTTTTTTAACCCAAACAAATTGGAAATAAAAATGTGTCAGTAGGTAAAAATTGCAAACTGTTCCTTACGCTATTACTCTCTTACCTCTAAAAAATTTAAAAATCTTCTTTTATATAGCCAATTAAAATTCAGTTGAATAGTTATTTTAAAAATTCCATCTTAAAAAAAGAGCACAGAATTAAAGAAAAATATTCTTAGCTTATGTAATTTTCTTTCTCTCACCAAGATTCCAATCTTTGGATGTTAATTCTTGCTATCATATAATCTATTGGTTAGAATCGTTGTTAGAAATAAAATCATCGCTAGTGTTGCCATGGCTCAAAGGTTGAGGGCACAGAGGACATTTAGATCTATGTCCTAGGGTTTGATCCTCAGTCGCAGCTTGAAGTCGATTCAGTTTCAGATCTATGGGTATCAGCTTGTCTGGGAAGTACTGGCTGTTAGTGCACAATTTTAACCACACTGCGACTATCATGCCATTAGTCATGAAATTACAGAACTTTAGCTAGTCTAAAAGGGGCTATTGTGGCAATGCTTTATTTACCATTAGGTTCTTGGAAGTTGTTTATTTCGAGTCATATGACACGTTGAGGTGCAACATTCTCTCCTAAACTAAATGCATGTAAATACTATGAGAGAAAATAATTAACATAGATAAAAGAAATTTAACAGTTCAGTTTCACCTCCTATCACGCTCAATATAAATATGTTCTGAAGTAACTAAGTATGAGCTGTTTTGAAAAATCTGACTCAGAACATGCTCAGTTACTTCGGAAGAGGCAAACGTAAACATTCGGGAATGTGAAACGGTAATAGAAAGATTTTGCAGTGCCCATTCACACATTCCCGCTTATATATTTTGAATTTACTGCACCAGCACAGTTTTAGGAATGGCAAGCATGCGCAATTACTGCAAACACGAGTAAACGTAAAGTGATGTGAATTAGTAATTGAGAGATTTAACAATGCTATTTCACACACTTTGGTATTTATTTATGTATATTCTTAAAAAACTGAGTACATACAGTACACAAAACTGAGTACATAGGAATCGGTATCACAAACAAGGGTAATAACTATGAGGGGAGAGGAGTCATCGACTATGCCAACCGTCATCTAGTATTAAAAGTCACCCCAAGATTGAAAACAGATAGTATGTCTTATATACTAGTGAATTGATGTTTAAAAATGGTAGTGGTAGTTACGCCACAATACTTCCCCACCAGAATTTTATCAGAGATAGAATTCAATGAACGGATACCATTAGTTGTCGTATTTGCGAAAGACAGGGAGAGTTTAAGTTCACAGAGTTTTTGTCGTGAGAGCTGTTTTAAGTTGACGGTTGTGTGTGTGGTCTCTCCTGTGTTGTTGTTAGCAGTCGAGTGTGTTTAGAATCCCGTTGTGTGTAAATGAGATTTAAAAGAAGCAGTGCGAGGAGGACGATGATGCAGTCACAAATAGCAAGTCAACCGTTCAATGTGGACCATACATCGAAGTATGCGTGTTCTGTCTAGGTAGGCGCGTTCAGATCACGTCCGCAGGTCACCAATGTAAAGAGAGTAGAAATCGACAACGCCAATCGTCATCTATCAAAAGGTAGCCCAAGATGGAATCGAGTTAGCATGTCTTATACACTAGTGAATAGCTGTTTAATAATCGCAATGGTAATTACGCCACAATTATATACATGAGTAAACGCAGGAAGATATGAAACGGTTT